GCACCCGCCCTCACCTGTGTGGATGGAAACACCCGAAATTCGTCACTGGGCTCGTTAGGGCTTCGCTGTGCGTGTGCTCTCGAGCTGGGACATTTTCGCCCCCCCGTCCTCTCACCTGCGGGCGGGTTCCCTTTTTCAAGGTCATGTCACGGTGCAATCGTGGCACTGACGTTGATTTTGCTGTTGACTGTGAAAATCGCCGATGCAGAATAGCAGGACGTCAACCCACCGGATGCTGTCTCGGCCTCCAGTTCTCTTTTCGCCCGGCGCTTTTTTTCTGCCCCTAATCGTGTCCTGCGCGCTCCCCCAGACCCTGCTCCTTGACACTGTGGATGTTCCAAGTATTTTTGACGTTTGTGCGGCGTTTGACCTTGTGGTTGAAATTATTTCGGCCAACTGTAACTTCCTTGCTGTGGGTGTGCCATTTTAAATATCAGAAACATGTCACTAAATCGGCTTCTTTCTCAAAATTTACCACTTTTGCACGCTAGCTCACTGAACACCGCAAATTGGGGTAAAGCTTGGTACAGCTGAGAAACAAGGGATTAGACACAGCATGTCAAGCTCACAGGGCTTTGTTAGTAACACTTCTCGAGTACCGACAGTCCCTCTATCAAAATTGTGCGTGCCATATCTCATGACATTCCATGAAATAGGCAACTCAGTTAACCCAATTGCGAAACATTCGCGGCTTCGGTGGGATTCGAAACCACAGGGCAGCGAAGGCTTTTGTACAGCCAACACTCTACCGTTGAAGTACAAAGGCATACCAAAGCTCTTGGGTTGACTAACCCGCCCAGTCTACCGCTCGTGTTGAATCCCCTATTACGGATACAGTAGGCTGACTGCCGAGGCAGGATTTCCTAAGTTATCATCTAGAATCCACCAGAATGACTCCTAGGCTTACTTACTTAGTAGGGGTGTTTGGCAGATTCAAATAACTCAGTTGACCAAATTGTGAACAATTCGTGGCCTCGGTGGGATTCAATCCCACAGAGCAGGGAAGGCTTTTGTACAGCCAAAGTGCTACCCTTCAGTTTCGAAGGCACGCCGAAGTATTCACGCTTCACATCTGTCAAACCCCGCTAATAAATAGGCAAGTGACTTTGCAATCTTATCGTCAAACATCTCCTGCGCAAGCGCATATTTCTCTCCTGAAAGACTGACATCCACTTTAATGAAATAACCGAAAGAAAACAAACTATTACTAAGGTAACTGAAGAACCAGACAACCACTCGCATGCACACAAGCTCTCTTCGGGACAAACCGACGCCGCGATGTGTATGCCCGCATGCGTAGTTTGTTTTTGTGCCGTTGCCATGGCGAGAATATCTTAGTCGGAAGAGTCCGCGGAGGAGGATGAAGAAGAAAATTGACAGTTGCTAGGGCAACGCTCATACTCGAATTCGGCCATTCAATCAAATTTGCATGAACTGACCCCAAGCAAGAGGGCGAGACTGGGCCCGTTTAACCGCAAAGGGCCATGATGAATT